TGGCGCGAAATCTGTGGCTGAGGCGGCCAAACAGCCGAAAAGAAGAACATCGAAGCCTAAGAGGCACTGATGGTATGCCTCGGCACCTTGCATTGAATTGCCAGAGCCAGCAATTCTTCGTCCAGATCCGGAACATCCGCCGAAGCCATGATTCCTGGCCAAGCAAAGAAAAGACACAAATGAACTCATCTGTGCGCAAACGCGAAATGCCACACACGTGCGGAAGGGGACCAGCCCCACAGAGAGCACACGCTCGAGAGCAGCAAGGAGAATCTTGCTGGCATCACTTTGTCTTGTCCTTACAGAAATGGCCAGACAAACACCTTATGTACCATGTGCAGCAAGAGACTGAAGACTTTTCAAGCCAGGTCCGAGATGATCCCGAAACCCGAAGCCTTGAGAAACCTGATGAGAACGCTGCAACAGAAGCCACCGTGCAAACCTTTCAGAGTTTGGCACACACGTGCGAATCTGACAGGCCGTGGCCAAGAAGCCACTGCACACACGTGCGGGGCCAAAAGCACCAACTGGTGCGATTGCCGAGAGACCTGTCCTTGAAGCACGTTGCGAAGCACGGAGCCCCACCAGAACTTTCGATTCGAGCCGCACCACTGCGGGCCAACTGAGACTGCACAAAAGGAGCCCTCTTGCCCCCTTTTTTGACTGCAGAAGCCACGAATCACTCGGACAGAAGTTTCCTGCATGCAGCATGCATGCACAGTCGGGCATCCGGAGGGTTCTTTATCCTGAAGCTTCAAAGTATAGCAAGCCCATTCCTTCGGCAGCATCTCAGCCATATCCGGTCCGTGGAGGACAAGTTGCTGAGCGGGGTGTCTAAGACCACTTTACTTTGCTTGCAGATGCACTCTTAACAATGCACAACATGGGCACTCATGTGCTTAATGGCCTCAAGTCCTTGCGTTGGGTCCAGAAGACGTTGCTTTTGTCCCTCCCGGATTTGTACCAGGGCTCATGCACTCAGTGTCCTACAGGGTTGCAAGACAGAAAGAAGGCATTCCCTCTGCTCCTTTTTTTGTCTTGGCTGCCTTAGAAAGGCAATTGCTACTGGATATGGGCTCTCCTTTTCATTGGGCAGTTTTGACTTCTTGTTGGAGCAGCCTTCGCCTCAGCGATTCTCAGCATGTTTCATGGAGCTCCATACAGGCAGGTTCTTGGTGCGCACAAGGCACATCTTATTGCACCAAAGTCAGCAGGCGAGGGGTCTTTTGGTCTTCTTAACAGGGTTTTTATAGTGCCGGCCGGAGTTTTGCGTGCACTTGGGTTGCACGCTATCTTCGCCTCCTGGGTGAGGAGTGGAACGCCTTAGAGGCGAGTTTTGGCTCTGTCACTCCAGATTGTCTCTTCTTCTCGTCTGCGGCAGGCGAGTTTCAGCCTCTCACGTATGGCGAGGTCCTTTGCCTTCTCTCCGTGGCGCAACGTGGTTTCCGAGTCTCCCGCCGGAAGGCTCAGAGGCATTATAAATCCTCCTCTCACAGTGCCAAGCTTTACAGTCGCGACAATGTGTGGCCAGCTTTGGCAGCCCAAAAGTCCTTAATGCGCAGCGTCTCTCAGAGATGGTAGCCGTCCACCCCTTTGGCCCGCGGCGGTCGTCATCCGGTTCCGCAGCGTGCCATAGCACACCTTTCCGTGGACATTCAGCCAATAGCACCTCACCCCCGCTTTCCAGTTCTGGACGCCTCTTTGCACTCTGTCCCCGAGTCTTGTCCGTCTGCATCACACGACCGTGCTGGGCCTTCTTCACCCACTGCAGCTGCTGATGTCTCTTCAGACTCCTCTTCATCGTCCAAGACGATTGCCCACGCTGCTGATGCAAGGCAGTGCACGCCAGGCATCCTCCGCAGACGCTGACGAGTGTAAGGAACATGTCTTCCTCGTGGGCGTGTGGCATGTGGGCTTTCCCCACAGTGGCCCGGATGGTTCCAGCTTTGTGCGTGTGGGCAAAGCTGTTCTTTTGCGTCCTAAGTGCGGCGCTTTGGCTTGCTCATACTCGACGACGCGGAACAGGCCGAAACAGGGGAGATGATGGCAGAATCCTTGCAGAACCGAGGCTGAGGTCCAGGCCGAGGGGTAGAACATGGCTGAAGCATCACGCACACAGGTCTACGTGAACTATCACTATTGCAGTTCCTCGCTCATCGCGGGAAGAGCCTAGAGACCCCACAGGGGGCGCATGGGCAGCGTGCCTACCGAGGACTCTCTCACTCCAGCGGAGGAAGCAGATAGGGCCCAGCTACGGGTGGTTTTTGATCTCTGGGGTCAAGTTGGTGCCATTAGTCAGCAGCTTAGTTCCTTTCAAGAAGAAAGCCTGGTTTTCTCTGAGCATTTTGCTGCTTTAACCCAGCGTGTGCAACTTTTGCAAGGTCTGCTGTTGCATCTTTTGCTGCATTCATTGCGGTCACATCATTTCTTGCAGGAACTTGATTGACATGTCGCAAACCAGCCCTGCCGCATACGGGCGCCTCTTCTCCGTCAGGTGAAGATCCACTGCTGTCCGAAGCTTCAGATTTCCCCCCTGGATTGTGCCAGTCTCCAGAGAATGTTTCTGGGTTCGGTTCGAGGGAAGCTCAGAGGTCGCACTCCCCGCCTTCGCCTGTCCCTTGTGGTTGTGGTGAAGCACTATCGCAAGAATCCTTTGCCCATTGCAAATTCCCCTCCTGAGCCTCCTCCACAGCCTGCGTTCTTGAGACCTAGTGCCAAGCCCGAACCCGCCCCACGCGGTCCGTTCCAGTTACTACCCCTCCCCCAACCTAAAAGTGATCGGAAGAAGGGAGAACCACATGACCCAAAGGAATCATCAGTACGTGCAGACATCACAAAATTGCTCACGCATGCGAAGCATGTCATGTGTCCAGACATGAGTCTCTTCACTTTGGGCCGATGGCTGATACGCAAGCAAGGTGACAGCTCAGTTGAAGTAAAATAAAAACATCCTTGAGTAAACACAAGATACTTGCAATTGAGATTCAGCCGCAGACAGCAAATCCACCAGCTGGCCCGGTCCCAATTCCGGGGGGAGACACCAAGATAGTCTAAGACTGCATCTTACGCTCTCAAGTGTGAGGGTTCTCGTCTTTCCGCACGCGAGGGGAGTCTGATCGTGCCTAGGCACTTCAGTCGAAACAAGCGGATGGCAGAGGGGATAATTTTGAGGCTTTTACAAAGGATGACGGGTTCTTCTATGCGCTGGTTCACAAAGCAGAGCAATGGTGTTCTTAGTTTATGCAGGTCTTACCGCGGCTTGACAACAATCAACAGTGTTTGTATTTCAGTGGCGGAAAGGCAGTACATTTCGGTCCATATAGACCATGTCCCAGGGTTCAGGAATGACCTAGCAGATGGTCTTAGCCGCGGCTATGACGCCCAACTTCTGGGTTTCTCCGAGTCCGCACGCTGCCAAATCCCTTGGTCCGCTCTGCCTTCATCTTTCTCTTGTCATACGTACCCCCTGGAGCTAGATCTCTCCGGTTGGCTGGCGTCTGCTTGAAGAATGCTGGCCTTGTTCCCCCTTCGGGTCAAGCGTGCCGCCTGAAATACTTGGTGCTTTGGACCAGCATTCTGTTCACCTTTCTTGCCCGGGTGCTTCTGCCCGCAGGCTGCTTAGCTGTAGCACCGCCAGGGATTCTTCTGCCAGCGTGTAAAAAGAAAGGGGTGTGCGTGGTTCTTCCTTTTTCACGTGTGCAACTGAACATTCGTAACGGACTAGTGCGGGTAGTGAACGTGGCTGTACGTGTACAAGTGTGTTTGCTGCCCCGCACGCAACGGCACAGCATGTTCCGCCTGTTCATGCCCTTCCCGCCTGCTGTGTAGCTGCTGGCTCGACAGGCGGATTTGTGCATCTAGTCCGTTCGGATTCAGTTTCGACTTCCGCCACCTCTCCTCCGACCTTCCTCTGTCTTCCTTGCCGCGCGAGATTCCTCGCTGCTCCTTGCATCGTCCTCTACGTCGGTTGGTCCACAGTGGCCTTCCGTCTTAGAGTCGATGCAACGGCTTCCGCATCTTGGTTTGGACCCGTAGGTTCTCAACCGTAGTAGAGTCTGATTAGAAGTACTCTCCTTCCGTTCTTTCACACTCTGCTGGTGCTTTGGACCAGCATTCTGTTCACCTTTCTTGCCCGGGTGCTTCTGCCCGCAGGCTGCTTAGCTGAAGCACCGCCAGGGATTCTTCTGCCAGCGTGTAAAAAGAAAGGGGTGTGCGTGGTTCTTCCTTTTTCACGTGTGCAACTGAACATTCGTAACGGACTAGTGCGGGTAGTGAACCCTTGAGAACACAAGCCTACACCCTGAACTCTACGACCCCAAGCCTTTGTCAGTTTCCAGCTGTAAGCGCCAATCCGACTTCACCTGCTTGGCGTCTCGTCTTGAGCCCAGCTGGAATCCTGGACCCTAAACCGAAAGAGGCCCGAGGTTCCACCGTCCAACTGTGTGTACGACCTGGTGATCTTTGCTGGGAAGGAGCTGCATGCTTCGGGTCTTGAGTCAAGAGGCTTTGGCGGGCCCCGAATTAGCAAGTATTGGCCACAGAGGCCAGGATGGATCCCTAATGGTCTATGCACCCGACACGTGAGCCGGCTACTGGTACTATATAAACGATACTTAGGAATTATATTCTATAAGACCCAAAAGGAATGCTGAAAGGACTATGTTTACTATAGTTCTAAGGGAAGAATAGTAGAAGCCCCTGACAACATCACGGTTGGAGCTTCTGCCATGGGCGTCTTGACAAGTAGTGGGGTTTAGTTAGTGTCTAGGGTTTTGGTTTATGGTTTACGACAGGACTGGGGTAGGGCTTCAAGGCGTTCAAGGATCTTGCTCAAGCACCCCTGGCCTCTTCCCAGACCGCAGTTTAGGGTTATTGGGGTTTTTCAAAGTGAGTTTGGGCCTAAACCATGTACAGGCCTAGATTGCTTGCCGCCTTTGGTGCCTTTGGTGGCCCTCCTTCATCGGCCGCAGGCCTTAAACCCGAACCCTAAACCCTAACAGGACATCCAAGATTTGATGGTGGTGGCGTCCTCAGCCGAAACGGAATGCATAGCTTAGGCCCGATCAGGACCCAAGGCCCTGTGAAGCTTAGGGAACCTTAACCTTGCTATTCTCCATAAGCCCTTCTCCACCCTGAACACCATAACGTCCAGACACATGAGCAATGAACTTAAAGCTAAGATGCTCATTCCCATTTTGTCGGTTGGGATCCTTTAGCAACAGATCCCTCGACCAACAAATTCGGGTTGCCCTAAACCCTAAACCCTGTTGCCTTCTTGGACCCAGAAAAAGGGGACACTTAGAACAACGGGGGGGGGGGGGAAGCTCGCATGACTCATCCCTACACTGTCAACCCAAGAATCCAAATTGAGTGGCTGTGCAGGGTTTAGGGCTTCGGGTGCCCCCGCCAAGAGTGCCAAGCTTAGAGGTTTGTTTGAGCGCTGAAGAGGGGGGTATTTTCGAGTCCCTGATTAGGTACCAGACAAAAGTTTAGATGAATGGCATCGGGGCCGTCTCTGTTGCGGTATATTCCTTGTAGTTCCGGATGCCCAAAAAGCGGCCTGAACCCGAATTCCTGAAGATGAGAAAGAATTTCCGTCCTGCGCCGTAGACACCCCCAAAGCCCTCAACCATAGGCACCTCTACACCCGGAGCCGGGATGGGCCTTAGGGGTTAGGGTGAGGGTCTCGGGCTTAAGGACTAGGGCGTTGGAGTGTGGGCTGAAAGGTTTACGGCTTAGGTCTGGGGGTTGGTGTTCAGGGTTGCTGAGCCCAGTTTAGTGAAGCACTTCGGTCACTCTTTGGGGCCAGAAGCCCGACAAACCCACGGCCAGGAGCCAGAAGTGGAATCCTTCTTGCCGGCTTTGCAAAGCTGGGAGGCATAGCCTTGGGGGTAGAATTTTGTTTTTCGGGTTTGAGGGTTTACGGCAGCTTCTGGGCTTCTCAGGAGCTTACGAGTTTCCCGCTGCGAGGGGGGGGGGGTGAGTTCGGTTCGAGTCAGGGCTGATGTTCAATTATTTGTTTTGGAAGATATTCTCTTTGATTGCTAAATAGAACTCATAGAACAATGCTCGCAACTATGCTCGTTTCCCCAAGTTAAGAGTGCAGGAGGCTTAGCTAGATGGATTAGTATAAGTGGAGATCAGATATGACAGGAACAGTACTTGTACGCTTGACGAATGCTGCAATTAAATAGTGCAGACTCAAGTGCAAAGCCACATGGAATTCAAACACATAATGGTTTGACGCGGGAACTCAGCAGCTGTGTTTTAAGGCATGTTCGTCTCGATCGATTGTTCCAGTAGCTGTCCGTCTCTTGAAGGTGTTGACGGACTCGTGCCGTGCCGCACCCCTGCTCGCAGCACAACTCATCTTTCTTCGCACGGCTCATCACGACAAACACGAAGCTCCTACTCCATGCCAACTCGCAACATGTCCGGACCTGATTCAATACATTATATGCTGCCCCATATTATGCTTTGTTCACGGCGACCTGAATTCTCTGCCTCATTTTTCAGGTGCCCTTTATCGGTTGCCAGATCAGGAAGCCCCAAACCCTACATCCTAAACTAAACCCCAAACATGCTACACAAAGCATATTCCCATACGGTTGAAGCCTCAAATACGGTGGATCAACGCAGTGTTTTATCCTTAAAAAAACCCAGGACTTCTTATCAGGGTCCCTCCTAAAGTTTAGGGTTCAGGGTTTAGGGCTTAGGTTTTAAAGCCTACGCCGCCTAGGCCTTCATTCCCTAAACCTTCCAACCCCAGCCCCCAAACCCTGAACCCTAAAGCCGTCAGCCCGGGGGATACTCCAACTAGGACACGACATCAACCGATGCGGGCTCAACGTCGGATCAGGAGCTCAGTGTTATTTGGAGGTTTGGGGTATAGGCTTTAGGGCACCAAGTATGTTATGGAAAACGATGCAAATAACTCTCAAAAGAATAGGTTGGGGTGGTTGTCTGCTTCAGACTGCGCGAGGTGGGATGAAATTGGAACTAAATGCAGGCCCTTGCTACGCCACCCCCCAAGAAAGTTGTGCTCAGGACAGTGAGTTTAAGTTTAGGGCTTATGGTTTAGGGTTCCTGGACATTTTCGTTTATCGTGTATAGGAATATGTTTTAGAGGGTCTGAGAGGGACCAGAAGCCCGGAAGTCAAGATTAACCCTCTACGTTGTCCAGAAGGTTTTGTCAGGGGGGGTTCGGGGTTCACGGCCCAGGGCGAAGATTGCAGGGCTTTTGGGGGTGTCTTTTCGCCCGCTTTTCATTTCGGAATCTTCGTCGCGGAGATAGTATAGTGAGGGTGTAAAGGCAGAGAAGCCCAAATTCTTAAGTCACGTACTGTCACATCCAAGCCGGTTCATCGTGATCATGGGTGTGCATTATTACTAGTGGGCAGGAAGTCGAGGCGACTTTTATTGATGGGAAGCGGTCGCCATCGAACGGTTCGCGACAAGAGCACAAGACCGAGAGCGGGGGGGGGGGGGGGGGTTCGGGGGTTTCAAGTTTGAGTATTATTGAGCCTTTCAGTAATAGTGGGGGGTCAGTATTGATTCCATCAATACTACAATTTGGATATCTGCGAGGGTAACGCGGGGATCTTGAGTTATGTCCTCTTATCCCGCGAGCGCGCATTTTGAAGAGCTCCGCAGAGTCTCTGTGTTCGCATGAGCTCATTTAACTGGACTTGTTCTGGGACGCTCATGTTTTTAAACATCCACACTCAAGAAATACAGGGTTCTGCAGCGAGCGAGAGCAGAGGGAAGAGAGGGCAAGTGGCGGAGAAGAGAGCTGCACACATGCATGCTGGGTAACGGCCACTCTTTCAAGAAAAGCTGCCTTATGGGCGCTGTCGATCTTGCGAGTACCGTGCCTTCTGGCGTTGCGGCATCCCATCACTGCGTGCGAGTATTAAGGCGCAAGCAATTATGGTGAAGCAGCACCGAAAAGTCCAAGCGAAAATTGGGGGAGAACCAGTGTGCATGCCAGTGTTATCTGGAAACTTCGCCATGCTGAGGGCGGATGACAGGGCTTCTTCGCTGACGTCGACGTCGTACTTATATGGCGTCCAAGCTTTCTCTCTGCCTTGCCAGGTGGCTGTGATCGACGAGTTTGAGATCGTGCGCAAAAACTTATGCGTGCCAGTTGCCTGCTGTTCCGGTCGGGTCGCGGGGCTCCACCGCAACCGTGTCCCCTCGTGCTTGTGCGCAGATGTGCTCGGGGCAGCAGCTTCGTCTACCCCGGAGACAAAGACAAGAAGACAAACAGAGAAGAACAACACAAACAAGAGAAGGACAGAGGGGAAGACAGCAGACAAAAAAGAGAAGGGGAGCGTGGAGGCGAAGACGGGGGAAGAGAGGGAAATGTAGAGGAAGGAGCAACTGCTCCGGCACCACTTTGTCGCCTAGAATCTAGGCCCTAGCTTTCGTTGATCTCGGCTCGCCCCTCAAAGCATATGTCCCCAACCTTAGTTCCCAAGTATCAGAAAGCTCAATAAAACCCTAAAGAGTTTTTAGGGGCATTTTTCCAAACGACCCCTTCTTGTAGCTTGCTGGCTCAGTCATAGAGTCTGCAGGACCTGCCGACACTTCTGGGAGGACCGGCTCAGGGGATGGAGGAACCAGAGCTTAGCGGATTGAGTTAGGGCTTAGAATTTATGGTTTAGGGTTTAGGGATGCTAAGCTTCCGCCTCCAAAGGACTGCTTACTATAGAACTGTAGATGCGGGGTTTTCAGTTTTAGGTGCAGACCTTCGGCTTACCGAACCAGATTAAATGGGTTCACAGTGGCTCACGGCATATTCCTGACCTGGACCTGTGATTGTAATTCCCCGTCTCCTTTTTAGGGCTTATGCAAGAAGACCTTTGGGCCTACAGCCTCCTGAAAAATCATGTTTTGTGCCTGCTTGATCCATTAGCTTCAAGCCCTAAAGCTCCGGCCTGCAAATCATTCTAAACCCAGAGCCTGAAAGAGCGTAAAGCCTGAGCCTCAATCCGGAACCCAAAAAGGTTGTAAGTGAAGAAGAGGTGCACGCCTTGCAGCCGAAGATCCTGTCCGAGGGCTGGAGCTTGGAAAGAGGCCTGGTTTAGGGTCCGGGGTTTGGGGGTTGAGGGTTTAGGATAGGGTTAGGGTTTCATGGCGTCTATGGGCTAGGATGCCCGGTAGTGCCCCGATCGCCCTTTTGGGCGATCTAGGTTCCCTTATGAACCCCTTTCGTGGGGTCTGTAGGGTTTAGGGCTTGGGGTCAAGCCAAGATGCCTCGAGTACCCTTGGGTTCAGGGTTTAGGGTTTAGGGGTTAGGGTTTAGGGTTTAGGGTTTCGGGTTTTGGGTTTTGGGTTTTGGGTTGAGGGTTGAGGGTTGAGGGTTTAGGGTTTAAGGTCTTAGTGGCTCTTGGAAGGGAATTTGGGACTTTTGCTTAACCCTAGAATGTCTAGAGTATATAAGGCCTATCCACATATTGGTCAGAACCAGGGCTTGTTGGGGTTTTGGGGGGGGGGGCGGAGTGGCTTGCTTGTGTGCGCTTCTGGGGAGTTGGGGGCTTGTGAGGAGTTGGGGGCTTGTGTGTGCTTAGGGTTTCGGGTTTGGGGTGTTGGGTTTAAAAGTTTAGGGGCTTGCGTAGCCCTTAGGCTCCAGTGGCTCAAAACCTTGGGCCCAAATCGATGGGAACCAAGGATGTCCCCTGGCTTCGCATCCATCAACTACGCTTCGAACACCGAGTACGCAGCCATCGAAGATCAGGTGTCCTGGTGAAGAACGCCTGTTCCCTGATTATGGTTCAGCGAGTTAGGGGTTTAGGGTTTCATCGTGGTCCCTGCTGGGGTTCCTACTCTGATACGGGGCCTTATACATGTAGGGCAGGGTGCCCAGGAAGGGACCAATTTTTCGAGAACTGCCCTTCGGGTTTCATCAGGTCCACGGCTGTCTGGGGTTTGCCTAGAACAAAGCTAGGGCAGTAAAGACTTTACTTTGACAGGAAAACGGGTCACTCCAGAGGGTGTATTGTGCCTAAGCCAAGTCGGTACCATTGCTAACTTAACCAGGTTTAAAGGGATTGTTACCAGGACGACCCTTCCCACCCGTGTCTTCAGTGCTAACAGTAAAGCGGGTGTTTCATGAACACAAAACGGGTTCCGTTTCCATTTTTATGTTCTTGGGGAACCTGGTCGAGTTTAATAGATTTGAATTGGGTTTCCCCCCCTGCACCCCAAACCTCTTAAGTAGTAGGGCTTGTACTATTAGTATCTCCAAAAGGGCCCCACATATACTATAGGGGCCTTAATGATTTTAAAAGTATGTTGAAATAGGACCATAAGGGGATACTATTAGTAATTATTCAACCCTATGCTATGCACACAAAAACCCCGCAGGAGGCCATCAAAACCTTTAAACAACCCTCATCTCAAACATCGTGGGAGGTTTGGGGGATTAGGGCCTGTTTACTGTTTAGGGTTTGGGGTTTAGGGTTTAGGGGGTTTGGGGTTTAGGGTTTAGGGTGGCGTCTTTCGGTGGCGTCTTTCTGTAGCGTCTTGAGTTGAGATGTTTACATGGGCTACATGGGTCTCGGGTTTACTGTTCATGCAGGCTGCATGGGTTAAAACCTACAGTGAACCCTGATTCTGCCTGATTCTGATTGGCAGATGGCGAAGTTAGTTTCGGTTGTTTTGGGGTTTCAAGGTCTTATCACATTAAACCCCAAGCCGCCCCACATTGGTATGCCCTAAGCCAAAAGTCCCCTAGTCGTCTCTTCATGGCTACTTCTTGTGGTGGTTCCTCCGTGGATCAGAAAGAAAATCAGAAACTGGCCTGCGAATCAGAAACTAGCTGCGAATCATAAACTCCGAGTCAGAAACTGCCCCGATTCAGAAACTCCGAATCAGAAACTGGCGCGCATCAGAAGCTGTGCATCAGAAACCTGAGCGAATCAGAAACTGCGCATCAGAAACCTGCTCGAATCAGAAACTGCGCATCAGAAACCCGCGCGAATCAGAAACTGCGAATCAGCAACTGCGCATCAGAAACCTGCGAATCAGCAACTGCGCATCAGAAACCTGCGCATCAGGAAACTGTGCGAATCAGAAACTGCGAATGGATGGGGGGGGGGTTAATCGCGTGCATGTTGCCAGTGCTCCAACGTCGGAGTAAGCCCGGGGGGGGGGGGGGGGGGGGGGGGGGGGGGGGGGGGGGGGGGGGGGGGGGGGGGGGGGGGTGGGGCGGGGACGCAATGCCCTGCGGGGCAAGCCGACGAACTGGGGAAAACTTCTTAGCCGAAAAGAGCCCCATCGGTTGCCTCAGGCAGCTGCATGGTCTTTGACGGAAGAGACCCAAGAACCCTTCGGGCCCTTCGGAGCAGCAGTAGCCGACCGAAGCCCGTAGTCTTATGGAAGTGTCCACACTCACTGCGGGGAAAGGAACGTCGGATTCAGAAGCTATCCTACTCAAAACTCAGAAGTTCATCACGCGCCCCTAAACCCCAAAACTATAAACCCTACACCACTGCGTGGGTCGTGGCGGCCGGAACCGTGAAAACGGTGAAAAGGCTTAACCCTCAACCGTAGCCTCCATAATGCGAGCGGAGGTTTTAAGGTTTTTGAGGGGTTTTGGTAGTTTTTTTGGGTGGTTTCGCGGTTTCCGAATCAGCCGTTTGCAAGTTTCCGATCAGCCGTTTCCCGGTTTCCGTTCTTCCGAATCAGCCGTTCGCCGGTTTCCGAAACATCCGTTTCCTGGTTTCCGATTTTCCCGTTTTCGTTTCTGATTCACCTGTCTTGTTTTCTGATTCAGCCGTCCTGGTTGCTGATTCAAGTCTGGTTTCTGATTTTCCCGTTTTGGTTTCTGACTCAGGGCTGGTTTCTCATTCAGCCGTTCTGGTTTCTGATTCAGCGGTTCTGTTTTTTGATGTTTTTCGTCGACCTTCCTTCGTGCGGTGGCCCTTTTCAGCATGGGGGAGCTTAGTAAGTAGTGCTGAAATAGGGTTTCAACAACTCCCTTAAAGGGGCCCTTCTTGAAGCCAAAGCCACATGTGCTGATGTGCAGCGAGTGGTGCGGCCCGGGAGACTACGCCCGAATGGTCAGGGCAAGCGAGCGAGCCGCTCGTGAGGCAGACAAATGGCAGAGAGGAGCGAGCAGAGGCCAGACGGCTAGCAGAGCTTCGCCGTGATCCAATTGCACGAGACGTTCCGTTGAACACTACTGACAGCCTCACCCAGGTTTAGGGAGTGTCCAGTCGTACCTTATTCTTCCCATTGTCTCCGGGTCAGCATCCTTTTTGTCAACCTAAAGAACAGGACGCCCTAGCGGTAAGGGAAGTCGAGGCCGGCGGATCGACGTCCTCTACTGAAACCCCCCCCCTCCCCCGCCCCCCCCCCCGCCCCCCCCCTGCCCCCCCCCCCCCGCCCCCCCCGCCCCCCCCCCCCCCCGCCCCCCCCGCCCCCCCCCCCCCCCCGCCCCCCCCCCCCCCCCCCGAAGCCGAAGTGTCTATGCAGCTAAGTAGGGTTTGGGGCTTAGGGTCCTACAAGGGAACACGTGGACTTGGGCCTTGCGATACTTCACATACCACACCCAATGGGTCCAGGATTTGTGGTTTGTCAGCACATCCCCCCCAACTAATTCTGCCACCATCCTGTTGTTCTAAGAACAACCCACTTGAGGGCTTAGCGCCTTGGGGGATAAGTTCCAACTCTTACTGAGGAATGTGGCCCTTAACCCTTAAACCCCTAAACCCCTAAACCCTTAAATCCCGAAACCCCTAAACCCAACTCGACCTGGTGGAGGCCTTTGCTCCGTCATTTTTGGCCGGGCCGCCGCTGACTTGGGAGGTCTCCTGGGGTAAGTTTAGGGTTTGGGACGTTAGGGTGTTTATTTTTTCTAGATTTTAGGTGTAGGGTTTAGCGAAACCCTCAATCTTCACCCCTGAGCCTGAAAACCTCCAGAACCCTTTTCTGAAACCCTAGTTTAGCCTGATGGCAACCTTAGCCTGCATGTGTGTCGGTGCAGCAGTGGCCACATTATTTGGGGAGTTTGCTACACGTTTGCGTACACACGCGCATGCATCTCGGTGTGCTCGTGGAGATTTGCCCCAGGAGTTCGACGAGCTTTTTCGCTAATGTCGAGGCCTTAGAAAAGTCTCCTGGTGTCAGGACAAAAGACTTTCATATGTCCATAAGGACTTGGTGATGGGGAGAAGCTCCACCTTAGTCCACGCTTCGGGTATGTTCGGGCTTTCTAGTCACGAGGTCATGGATCCAGTCTAGAGGGCCCTTATTGTGTGTAGCTATCAAGTCGGCCACTACGAAGACGTTGACATCTAACTCCGAGTAGCAGGCTTAGAGAATTTTGAATGTCGACGTGCACCAAAGCGGCTTTGGGGCGTTTTGACCTGAAAAGAGTGTTCAAGTGTTTTGGCAGCAGCCTGGGTTAGGGGTACCTTTTTTGGGGGTTCCTTTACAAGCATTATATAGTATTTGGTGTGTGTAAGGGATACCCATTTCGGAAATCCCATTTCAAATTCTGCAGCTGCTCAACCGGAGCATGTAGGGGGCCTCCCGGCTTGAAAACCATTGTTCCCATAAAAGAGTGTGTTGCTGTATTCTGGGCCCGGCCGTTCCCCTTTGTGTTAGGAAGCGCCATGGCAGAATGATCACTGTCTCCACTGTGTCCTAAACCCTAAACCCTAAACCCTAAACCCTAAACCCTAAACCCTAAACCCTAAACCCTAAACCCTAGACCCTAGACCCTAGACCCTAAACCCTAAACCCTAAACCCTAAACCCTAAACCCTAAACCCTAAACCCTAAACCCTAAACTGCCTGCTCAAGATGAGCAAGTCTTCTAAGGGGTTGAACCCCGGCTTGAGTTCCCCTTTGTGCTACATACAGCACGGAGAGGCCCAGCTTGTTCATAGCCTTGATGTCTAGAAGGTTTAGGGTTGGGGTTTTGGGGTGTAAGGTTTAGGAAGTTTAGGCTTTAGGGTATAGGCTTTAGGGGGGTGAGCAAGAATCTACTGCAGTAGCTTCCATCTGCTTCTCCATTGTAAATAGGCAAGAAGCTGGAAACTGCTGTAGCAAGTTCAGGGTTGGTTGGAACCGGCTGCGCAAGATCAACAAGATGTTGGTCGCCTAGAAAGGTGTCACCCTAGGCAATGTGCCAGACGCCACCAAAAGTGGCCTGGCTACATCCAGCTGCGGAGGATGTGTTCTCGAAAGGAGGACATAAAGCACTCATCGCTTGATTTGAAACAAAGGATGCAGGTACCTTCTGGGTACTTTGGACCGCCACACTAGACAGTCTACATGGGATTGCCAGGTGGAATGAAGGAAGAAGGCTCGCCAATTCAAGAGTTCAAAGGTGTTTAAGATGCTAAGCTACTGCTTCTGGGCTTTTGATCGAGGTCTACCAGTAGATGATTCCTCATCGCAGGTGTCATGGTGTCATGCTCAGATTTGGGAGTTTCAAGAAGCCTAGCTTTCGATAGGTTGGAGGTCGATTTGACTTTGACGCGTGTTGGTGAGGAGCATTGTGTCGAAGCCACTGCCCGCAATTGTGACAATCAATTGCGCTCACGGTTACTTAGCGGTGGGTGTAGCACTGCAGTCTAGGGGCTGCCAGCGTTCTTGTTGCATCTGTCTGAATACGAAGGATTCACCCATGGCATCCTTGCTTGGGGCTTTGTGCTAATGTGAATTCATCAGGTTTATCGGCGTGGCGGCATTGCACGTTGCGAATGCCGAAACGCCTGCGCGCCCAAGTTCAGAACCTCAATGTGAAGGCAAGAAAGCCCAAGTTTTTTCTGACACTAGACGCCACCCCGGCGCTTTGCACTTTTCTCTCCAATGACTGGACCGGTTCCAGACGGTAGCAAGAACAATCAGCATCAATGAGAGCACGCCGCTGGTTTCTCAAAAATGTGATGAAAGAGTTTTGTGGCAAGGCCTTTTGCGGTTGAAGACTTTGTGTCTTCACTCGACAAGCTTGCTATGCGCGAGATTCTGAAGCCATATTGGCTGGAGGAAGCCCCTATAAAGCCAATGTGGCAGTGCTAATGAGCCTGCGCCACATGCGCCACAGCGGTCTGGAAATGCTTGGTGCCGCTGTCATCGTTTGGTCGTGTATCCTTGATGCATGCCAGCTCGAGAGCGTATGCTGTAAATTGAGGACAACAGAGGTGACAACTTTAGAAGCAGCATGTTGACGTAGACAGCGGTTGGGTTATGTGGTTGGCAGGGTGCTCCTAAACCGTATGTGTGTGAATGAGATGCGGGGCAGACATGTCTTGTAGTTCCGGTCTTGAGGGCTCTTGATGTGGTCGAGCATGCTAGTTACCAGTTGCAACTTGATGCAGTTGCTGTGGAATGTTGGGCGATTTTGTTGTCAAAATCGCACTTTGTGTGATGTTTTTCCATCTGAGCGCTCGCACACTTCCGCCAGTAATTCTGATTCCTTGGCGGCCTGGGCAATAGTGAACCCAGCTGTGGCTACAATGCCACAACAAGGCAGGCAAGCACAAGTTGTCAACCGCAACTTTTTCGAAGAAGGGTTGGGCCTCTTTGGCCATTGCGCTTCCTTCAAGAGTTCGCCATAGTTGGCTTTCTCCAATGTCAGCAAAAGGCCAGCTTCTTGCCGTTCCAAGAAAACGAACGTCTTCACTGCAAGTGCTAAAACTAACCTTTCTCCCGCACAACTCTGAGATGGTGTGCTCTTCCATCCCAACTGAAAGCTGCCCAATGGACCCCGTTAAGCTCGACTCTTCCGTCGCCCATGCCCCAAAGCCGCCACGTGAGGTTGGCTGAGTGGCGTGGCAGCAGATCCCATTCCCTGCGATGTGTCCGACAGCGCATGTGGTGGGCAGGACTGACTTGAGGGGCTTTCAGCACCAATTCTTGGGCGGATCTGGTGGTCCACAAGCCATGAGTTCCAAGTCTTTGCGATCCTGGCCCTTAGGGGCCTTGTGCGCAGTTGATGCTCGGAGTGGAGAGTGTCTTTCGGGTGAGGAGTGGGAACGCCTAGCTGTAAACCGAATGGTCTTGCCCCCCCCCCCCCAACCTGATTCGCAGGAGCAGCAGGTGCTGTTGCAACACAAGCATCGGAGGCCCGGCTTTCCCTCAATTCAGCTCTCCAAGCCAAAATCCCTAGCCCCTAGCCCGTCAGACCCCCCCCCCCCACCCAAAACGCAGTCCGAAACACTCCCAAGCATTCCAAAGCCTGAGCCTACAAGCCTGAGACCTTTGAGCCTGTGCGCGGTACGCTCAGGAAGCAGCAACAAACCCCCAGCCTGCGTAGAGCCCCTTAAAGGGCCAAGCCTCGGCCTCAGAGGCGCCCTGAAACCGATGAGGGAAGGGCTTCGGGGGGTTCAGGGCAGCAGCTTTAAGGGAGATTTTTTGGGGAGTTTCGAGGTTCGTAATGTCTTGTTCAAGGCACACCCTGCCATCGGCCCGTGTCTCACAAGGTCAGGCTTGGGTGGCTTTAAGCTGCTAAGGGGCCCTGAGATGCAAGAAGTTTGCGCAGGCTCGGTGACACATCGTCAGCCGCAGCAGGCATGCGACAGCATTGTTCAGGGCTTGATTTAAGGGTTTCCGAGCTGATCTCAGGTTAGTTTACTTGGGTGCTTCTCTTATCTGGGTGTTGGGGAAGGGGGGCACGTGAAGTTTTTGACTTGTGGGGGGGGGGGGGGGTCGTTTAGCTTCTGCTGTGTTGAAAACTACCTGCTTTGAGTGCCATCAGGAGCTCCTGTAACATCCATTGCTTCAGGGAAACGAGGATTCGTCAGCCCGACTTCTTATCAGCTTGTCGAAGAAGGGACCGCCACTGCTCGTTTACTGCATGTTGAGTTGACTTGTGCCCCCCCTGCCACCCCTCCGGCAAAGCTATTCGATATTCTGCGATCGACATGCCAGGAGGGTGCTTCGGGCTTCAGAGTTAACATGAGCTTATCCCTGAACCCTACACCCGTAATTTTCTTGTTTGGGTTCACTTGTGTTGTTTGCGTGAAGACCCAGCTCCACCTTCAGAAGATCTTCTTCCACTTTCTTTGAGCCGTTGAAAGCCCTTCGAAACTCAACAAAAGCTGAAGACCTCGAAAGGGCGGCGACCTGCACGAACACCGCCTGGGACTCCCGGCAGCTTTGGCTTGCGGGCGCGAGGCTTGAGGTTTCGGGGGGTTGTGTTTTGTCATGGTTCGTCGGTTTAGGATTTAGGGCCTTTCCGATGTCAGCTGCCTCACGCAAACTGAGGACTGCCGTGCAGCCGGACAAGATGCCCAGAATGCCATGATCCCTGGCCCTAAGCATTGAGGCCATTGAGGCTTTGGGTTCACTTCACATGGGGAGAGCGCAGCTGAGGAGACCCTAAATTCTCAAATCCTAAAAGCGCTAAAAGGGCTGTGCCCTAAAGTTCCCTCAGCAACTGAGGCAAGTGCTCAACACGCGGCCGGATGGGGGGGCCTGCCAGGGCAGTCGAATCGCCAGGCTCAACGTCTTCACCGGTATCTACGAGTCGCTTGGACTGTGAAGGGCTGGGGAGGGGTTTGAGATTTAGGGTTCGAGGTGTTTAGTGCTTGCGCATGGTTGTTTCGGGATTGCATGGTGTCTTGGGTTTCTTTGGGCTTGGGGGTAGCTTCGGCTTTTCTTGCGGTGTCTTACCGGCCTAAAGGAGACAGGAGGTGCAGGGTTTTATGGGCTGAGGCTGATGAGGGCCCGATAGAGGGTTCAGGGTTTAGGGTTTAGGGTTCAGGGTTTAAGGTTTAAGGTTTAGGGTGGGGAGTGGGGGTGGCTTAGGGTTGAGGGCTTGTTGTTCAGGGGGTCTAGAGGGTTGAGGCTTGAAGCCATGGCTTTCCCGAGACCTTTCGGCTGAGGCTTGGCTTTCCAGAGGCCTGCAGGTAGCTTTCGTGCGCTCCGCCATGGTTTTGTCTCAGGAAGAGACGCTGGATATGATCAGGCCCCTGCTGGCGAAAGATGGGAAGGAGTACGAGAAATTTCAGCGGGCGATGATTCGCAAGGCAGTTTCGGGCGAGGTCGTGGTGACGGTGGTCGGGGGGAAGGAGGAAACGAGAAACACCGCCGATGACGGTGACATGGTTGTTCGTGCGATGACCAAGGATGGCGAGGAGTACA